AGTCCTATGAGACAACTGTGGTTGGGAGTTAGGGCTATACACAAACAAATTGAATAGAATAGAATTGCAGTAATGGGCACTATTCTTTTCCCTTTATTTTGCCACAGCTTACAGACAATTGCTAGTTTTAATCTTAGAATCTTTCTCCAATTTCATATTTTGTTGCTAATAACTTTGGCAATAGTCCCTGTTTTTTTATTTTTCACTAATATAATAAAGTTAATGAATGCAATCACATAATCGTTTTAACGTCGTCTTTCTCCACAGGACGCCAAACCATAAGCTTTTACAGCCAACTGGCGATAATAAAACTCTCCAATAAACCAGGCACATGCTGATAACTGACAATAAAAACAAATAAACAAATCTCAAATCACAAGAATCGCTCAGCCATATCCATCAACTTTGAAACTCCAGCCAACTCTCTTTTTTACAGTACACTATAAAACATAACTGGTCTGCTGCTCTAAAAACATTCAAGTTGTAAAATGTGTTGTATTTAAGTAAAAATTAAGCACTCCAATCTGTAAATAATGTAAATTTGGGTTTAAAGAATGAATGTATTTAGAAAACCTAGAACCCTTACAATGGATCTGCAACCTCGCACAGAGAAAGATCCGCATTGGCCTCTTTCAGCCAAAAGGAAAGTCTGAAAGAGAAGCGACTATTTCAAAAGCAAACAAGACAAAGGAGAAGTTCATTCACCGTCTCCTCTACCACAGTGAAAGTAAAATCACTATTTCCAATTTGGCTAATTTAACACAATCCCCTGGCACCCTTCTTAAGTAACATGTTTTTAGGGCTGTAATTATTGAGTATTTTGATAATGGGTTAGTTGGCCGATGTCATTTTCATTGATTTGTGTATTTATTTAAAACATACACAAGATATACAAACAATCATTCACAGAAAAAGTGATATGAGTGAACAAGAACACATGGTCTGAAAAGGGATTGGTCGAAGCAATCAGTTGTTAGGTGAATATGGGTATTTTTCTTCATTGGACTTAAATACAAAGCTCCAGTGATCAAATCAAATCAAATCAAATCAAATCAAATTTTATTTATGAAGCGCTTTTCATACAAAAGATGCAACACAAAGTGCTTTACAGTTTGGTTAAAAACAATCCCGCCGGTCCATGTCCCCTCCCCCCGACCACCCAACAGACCCATCCCAAACCACAGACAAACACACACACGCTCCCATGCACACTCTCTGACACACACACACACACACACACGCACACACACACACACACACAAGTAAAACAGTAAAACAATGATGAGAGACTTGGCAGTGATGCGCCTGGAGATCGTTTTCAAGATTCAAGATTCAAGAATTTATTTTGCCATTTGCAGTAAAACCACATTGGAAAAACTGTGCAAGACTACCCCAGTGTGCACCAGCTCGTACACACCAGGGCTCCTGCCGCCATTTCTCTGGCGCTGTGCGTAGAGATGCCTCAATACACATTCTGTTGTTCTATCAAAAATACTTCGTAAACGGTTTTCCTGTCATTATAGAAACATCCGAGTCATGAAACTTCGTATAAGCGTGTTTTAATTGTGTCTAAGGTTAAAAAAGATAATTTCAATCATCAATAAGTTGTGATAATCGATTCATTTGTCACAGTTCTAAATGTTATACGGAAATCTAATCGTTTTCTAGTCAATCTGGAGCGCATAGAAAACATGAGAGCATTTGGACACACTGGAGCACCATGGTTTTTCATAAATCCCTGAATTATGAACCATTTTTGTGACTTTTATGCAGAAAAATAAGACAATCTCCAAAATCCAAAGAGTTACGCAGGAGCCACCGTGAAATTTCCTGTCATTTTGTAGTCATTAGAGAATGTATTATTGTAATGTATTATAGAATTACCTGAGTCATGAAACCTCAATTATCGATAAGTTGTGATAATCAATTCAGTTTTGCATGTTATATGGAAACCTTTAATCTAATCTATAATAATCTATAATCAATCTGGAGCGCATAGGAAACATGAGAGCACCTTAGTTTTTAATAAATACTTGAATTATGATAACACTGCAAAAAGTGAAAATATAGACTAGAGCAGTTCACTTGATTTCAGTGTATTTATCAAATCACAATTTTTATTTTTTTTATTTTTTACTCATGCAGGCTGAAGATACTTAATATTACTTGTTATTCATACTTTTACATTCTTATGTTGTAATTGTATGGTTGAATGTGTTGCCTCTTGTCCAGGACACTCTTGAAAAAGGGATTATTAATCTCAATGAGGTTCTCCTGGTTAAATAAAAGTTAAATAAATAAAAAAAATCTTTAAATCTTCAAAAGTGGAATAATCATGATCCACTGACAGACAATTTTTGCGTGAAACAAGTACATTTCCTCTTAGAGCAGCTATTTTTTCTTGTTTTTTTTGGAGCCACTTTTTGCAGTGAAGGACGTGCACCATTTTTGTGAAGTTTCTTTGGAAAAATCAGACGATCTGGAATTCACAAAGTTGTGCTGGAGCCACATGAAATGAAGTCCTGAAATGGCGCAATGTAAATGGCCACATGTCGCCTGTCCTTCAGCACTTCTGTAGGAGAAACTTTTGGACGAGCGGCCTTCGTGATGGCTCAATACTCGCCACTGAGCGTGGCTGATGTAATGCGATCAATTAAGACACATCTGTGCGTTTGGCGTTTGCTTGCGTTGCCGCGGAGACAATAGCTGCCGCGCTCTGATGATGTATGGGCCTCGGCGTTCCAGACAGATTCATTACACCGCCCATTTTCCCCGGTACAAGTGTTAGCAAGTCTCAGAAGTAGCAATGTACTTATTATATCTGAGTGATGGCGCCCCTCCAGACTGTGTGTGTGTAATGCAAGGTGAGGAGAATAATTTATCATATCGGCTTCTTTTTTTTTGCGCTCGGGCATATTACTGATTTTGTCTAGCCTAAAATAAGCAGAGATGAGCCCAGAATGGAAAGTTTTAGAAAGTGATGAATAAAACTCCGGCGACATGGTAAAAGGGTTTTGAAATATTGCAGCTTTTTACGGCTTTAGTGAACAGCCTGTTGAATTGAGAACACAAATACAGATTTATCACTGTGGAGAAAATTGCCAGTGTCTTTGTTAAACATCCAATATTTCTCGGTATAAGATTGCGGCGCGTTCGATTTAAATTCAGTTGTATGGTATTAGTAATATGGAAGAATTTAGGGTAAAATACATAGAGGAAAATGATGAGAATTCATAACAGCGAAAACAAAAACAGTGAACGATCGTGAGGGAGAAACGTCAACACAAAGCGAAAAGCAGAACAAAAAGCCGCGGCGTTCTTTCCAATAAAGCTTCCACACTCACAGTGGAGGGAACAGCCTTTAATAAAAATAATTAAAACTACTCAAGCCTGGAAATTAAACTTCTATGCGCTGCCAATCACAACTAATAGGAGCGGAAATATCTCGAAAATGTGTAAATGAACCGCAACGTACCGAGCGAAAGTCCAACCTTGCCTGAGAATTGCACACAGTTCACCTCAAACAATTCTTTGCCGCATTTTTCCTGCCTTTGTCTCTGAGCGATTCGGTCACATATTTTCCCTTAAAATCTCTCAAATGTATTGGGGATAGTTTATGGAGCGCCTTTTGCCATCTTTTCCTACTTTGAGCCGAGTTTATTTTGGACGTCGAGCCCGGAGAATGGACTTCGAATTGCCGCTGAAGAATGAGTTTTGTCATCGGGACTTGCCACCGGATTATACAGCAACCTCAAATGTTGTGCGAGGAGAGCGCGCATGAGCAAAACCAGCCTCACCTTCATAGCTTTCGTCCCAATGCATTTTTGATGTGGCCCCCTTTTTTCCCCAGCTCCCAAAAGCTCGTGTCCATATAGCTTAAATTTACCCTGTGACGATGGGAGTTTGGGAGGTGTGTGTGTGTGTGTGTGCGCGACCAGCGAAAGAAAGGGAGAAAATGTTCCCCCCTGCCTGTTAAATATTTGAGGAGACTTCTGTCCAAAGTGATGCAGTCATAGGCATGGCCCGTATGTGAACTAACTCAGCCGTGCAGCGAGCAAGACGGAGCACTTTCAATGTTTGTTTATCTACCTGGGAGGCAGAGGGTCGCATGAGGAAGCGAGGGAGGACGGAAGGAAGGAAGGGAAAGAGCTAGGAGAGAGGGAAGAGTGAGAAAAAGACTGGCCCGCTTGTCACAAACGATTAGAGTGATGGACGCAGCGTGCCCTGTCCCATGCCAATGAGAGCGGCTGTTGTCTTCGCCGCAGCCAAAATACTTAAAAAATGAACTTGGTGGTATGTATGGTGGTCGTGCGGGATATAGGTGGCGAAACGACGGCTGTAAAGTGCAAATCGGAAATCGCTTTGGATTTGATTTTTTTGATTTTCTTTTTGGAGGGGGAAGTTGTTTAAGATTTTAGGCATCAGGATAAGCACAGACAGAACTAGGTCTCATCGCAGGCACTTTTATATAACGTGAAATTTCAAAGTAAAAGCCCAGCAGAGGAGAGGAACTACATCATGCGGCAAAAACATAGACGAAAAAAAGTACCACATGTGCAATGTCGTTGGCGCTTATTGTTTTTAAATATAAATACACGACCGGGGAACTATCTAAATAATGTTGTATTTATTTAGTTTTATGAGCAACTTTTTTAAGGTATGTTTTTGCAAGGCGGACGATATCCAGAAATGTTGGAAAGAAAGTTGGAATATTATCGCTATAACTACAACGGAACATGATACAATTTGTGTCCATCTAAACATAAATTTGTATTTCTTAAAATCGACATAAACAGTTATCGTTAAAGGTGATCATGATGTAGATAATCAATAGACCTATAGAGAATTGCCACAAAATTCCATTCAAATGCTTTTCCCAATGATATCCATAGGAAAGTGTGGATAAACAACAAAGGGTATTTTCATCAGTGCTTGTTGGAATCCCTCATGACAGATGTGCAGTTTCAGAGCAGGTCTGTGAGGTGTTGTGATAGACAGTGTCAGCTCTGAGACAGTGTGTTTGTGAGAGAACAAAAAGCGTCTGTGGATGAGGCGCGCGGCGGAGGAAGGATGCCCTCATTGTCTGAGACAAAAGGACTTCCTCCTCCGCCGCTGAACAGTCACCTGCGCCCCGCGTTACTGACTCCACAAGAGCGTGTTTTCTTGATAGACATCAGAGGCAGTTTGAGACACTAAGTACACTCACTTGGGGTTGGAGCTGTTCCAGTAGACTGCGTGTCTATCGAAGATGATCTTCTCCTCTGCCCAGGCGGACGCCCAGGACAGGACGGCCAGCAGTACGAGCTCCATCCCGCAGCGCTGTCCGAGCGGCCACAGCATCACGAGCATCAGCCGAGACTTGCTCCTGTCGCTCACTTGGACTGGTTCTCACTTTCACTGCGCCTCTGCTGCTGCTGCTGCTGCTGCTGCTGCTGCTGCTGCTGCTGCTGCACAGACCCTCGTTATATCATTAGCGTTAGGGACCAACGTGCGCATGAATCAATTATTGGATAGAGTTGCAAAAACATGCAAGTATTTCACGTCATAGTGCTGCAAAACACACTGTAAAAACTAAGCCGGTGCAGACAAATACGACCACTCACATGTTATTCTCAAAACGCAATGATCTCTGAAAGTTTTGTCCCATCACGCGCACGCAAAGAAAGTGCATGTGGATTAGATCCAGTGGAATAAACGACTTTGAAAGCAATATTCATCTGATGTTTGCTACTCTATTGCAGATCTGTTTGGTCACACGCAGGAGTGAGACGACATCACTGCGCTCCGTCATATTTACGTCTGAGGCGCGCGTTTTGTGCCGTTCTCAAATCTTCTTCCACTTGACCTTTTTTATCGCGAGACATTCCACAAAAAACACAGCGTTCCTCCGCGTTGTTCTCAGTCCAAACTTATGGAACAAAACATTGGAGCATCCTCTCCTCTTCTCTCTCCTCCACAACTTCCCGCTCACAGCTCTGGTCCCTGCTCTGGTCCCAGCTCTGGTCCCTGCTCTGGTCCCAGCTCTGGTCCTTACTCTGGTCTCAGCTCTGGTCCCGGCGCGTCTCTTGCTCCTAAACTGATCTCAGCGTAATCCGCACATGGCCCGAGCGCACTCTCTGCACCTATGGCGGCCACAACAGTGCAGCTCACCGGAGTCCTCGCAGTCGCACAGTGGATCTAGCCCCCTCCCCCGCCTGCTCCGCCTGCTCCTTCTCCTCTCCTCTTCCTCACTGCTCTTTCTTGATTTCCGTGCGGGAGGGGCGTACAGAGAGATGCTGTACCGTGCGGAGCCGCTGCCTCAGGGGACTCCGGGCTGACTCACTGCGCCCTGGCTCTGTGCGAGGGTTTATGTATGAGAAAAGCCTCGAGTCACTCTTTCATATGGAAACGAATCGAAGTTCAAAGATAAAACGAAGAAAATTTGCGTAAACTTTATGTATGTGACTTTTTATAAATCTGCCATCTGTGAGACTGTACGGCTTCGTGCGCAGCAGCTGCTCGTGTAACGCGCCCATAAAGTTTAGTTTGAAATATGCAGCTGATGGATGAGTTCGCGCACATACGTACAGCACGAGCAGTGTGCGTGATGGATTGCTGGAACACTCGAGTCGTTTTCCATCAGTGTCCATTAGCCCAAAGGGCCTCGCAGAATGCGAAGTGAAAACAGCCTGCGCCGTAAAGAAGCGAGACACCTCTGTCCCTGACGCACGGACTCTGCCCACGCGCACGCGCTACTGGAGGACTGTGTTCAAAGTCTGGCCCGCGGGCCAGTCACGGTCAGGGTTATAAAGCCTCGAATGTGCATAGGTCTGTAGACTCTATCTTGACTGTTAAGCCTTCAAAGCCATGTAAACCCGCTTTTGCTGTGAAAATATATATTTATTTCCATCACTCATTCCCTAATGTGTCATGTGCCCAGAAATCATAATGCAAAAGTAGAATTATTATTTTTTCATTTTAATTTTGGAAGGATATCACTTAAATATGATAATCTGTAGCAGAGGCAGCCGTCTAAGCACAGACCTCAGACTCTCCACACACACCTCGTCCAGCTGCAGGGAATCCAGAGCCGTTCCCAGGCCAGCTGAATGCAATGCTCTTTCCAGCGTGACTTGGGTCCTCACTGGGGTCTCTGCCTGAAGGGACATAACCAGAACACCACTCAGCAACCAGGAGGCTTCAAAGAAAAAGAAAAAAAAGCTAAGATAACATACGTCTCTTCCCAGTTCCATATAAGAGTCAGATACACAAGGCTATTTCACAACATTCTTATGAAGAAACACTTCAATCAAAAAGTGCTAGTGACAAGAGGCATTTGTTCCAAGAATCATTTAGTGTTTATGAACAAGCCTCGTTTGTGTTTGCGCTGCACTGATGAAGGAGTGCGACTGCAGTCTGTGAAGCTGAATGAGCTTCAGGCACAAAATCCATCACGTTTAAAACTATTGACTGGCTGAATTATTTGTAAAACATTCATTTGTTTAATGCAAACAGAGTCTACAGCCTTAACAAATGATGCAGGCTTTAGTGAACGCACAATTTATCCCAAAGTGATGGATTTCTGGACCTGCAAACTTGCTTATATTACCCACAATTCAAGCTTGTTCCCAGGATCCCAATAGTCTCCTTTATCATTTTAAACAGCACCTTTCTACTGCTCCATCACTCTGTTTAGATCATCTATGCAAAGTGTCCTAGTTTTCCATTGCCCCCCTCTGCTTGCAAAGTAATGCCTGTAATTTTGGATGTGAGAGCGAGCACCCCCATAACCCAAATACAGCTGCGTGTTGTCCGCCTCCCCAAAATGAATAATTCAGGATGCGTCTGAGGCGTGCATATGTAACCACCCGGATCGTGGCGGGATGCTTTTGGCTGCCACTTTAAATGGAGACATTACATTTGCCAGAGACATCCTTCACCTCTCCTCTGCGCTCTGCTGTGTCACTCTGATACTGACTTCATGAAGACTTTAATGCACTGGTCAGTCTGGTCCGGCTGAGGCCAGAGAGAAGGGACTGTGCCTGAAGAGATATGCAGATAAACACAGTACAGCTCCAAAGCCTTGAGTGAAATATTGATGTCCTTGATGAATTGTTTCCAATGTTTTGTGTTTCTGGAAAAAAGACCCTTGGAATTTGGTCCTGATTGGTGTTTTAAAAAAAAAAAAGTACTTTCATGACTTTGGACTTTATACTAGATTTATCTTGGTCAGTCACTGCATCTGCAAGGCAAAGCAATGTATACTTTATTGTCCTCATATAGAAATGTGTCATCTACATTTGACCCCAGATGTCTCCAGATGTTGATGCTCGGCTTTGGGCTGACACCAATCACTTCAGTGCACCAGTCATAGAGACAAGGACAAGGTGCTGTGGCTGAAGTTTCATTCCTGAGGACAACAACAGTAATAGGCTGCATCCAAAGACAATTCTGCCAATCAAGATAACATAACACATAAAGAATAACTGACAGTGGTGAAAGGGAGGTTGCAGGTGCCACACTTCTCATAACTATAATAATAATAACAATTATTATAATAATTATAAGAAATAATAATAATAATATTGTTTTCTTTTGATATAGCACTTATTTGGACACTCCACCATGTCTATTTTCTTTTTACAGCATGTACCGTACCATACTATCTCTCTCCTCCAAATTAACACATTCTAATTACAATTCTGATGATGTCATCAGTGATGCTACATTTGGACAAATTATGTTCAAAAGAAAATAAATCTAAATTCTTCCGTCACATTTGGTGTAAAAAAGCTTCTCAGAATTAGTTGATTATAATATTTCTGATCCCTGTCACAGTTATGTGAAACTGTTAAAGGCCTACAATAGTGCTATGGTCAAACCCCAAACTTCTGGTGAATAAGTACTTTCAGTTGGAACTGAAGTGAAAAGGTTGTTCATTTTTCCATGATGTCCTAAATATTATTTTCACTCGTCACATGAGAACATTTGTGGATTGACCTGTGTTTATCCTTTGGATGCATCATTACTTTGCAAAGTGGACTTCTCAGACACAGACAGGCCTTTGTTCCACTGTCCCACATGGATCGCCTTTCAGGGATGAATGCCCATTTTCTGCATTAAACATGTCACAGATGACACAAAGTTTGTGGTCTCAGAACAACTTGATGACCCCTCCTCAGTCACCACAGTGCCCTCTGGCTAATGGTGTGTGGCCTGCAAGTCAATATCACTGATTAGAGAGCGCAGCGCTGATGTAAATAAGTGTTGCCAGATGTGTTAAAAAACCTCTTTCCACATGTTTTCACTTACTGCATCCTCTGAAGAAAGACATCCATGTCCCCAGGGCCAGACGTCAATCAGCATAGGGACTTGTGAGTGTGAGTGGACTGTGAACTCGATGCTGTTTCAGAATGGATATTAAAAGTAGTTGTCTGGAGGATTATACAGAAAGATTATACAAAGGCTGCAGAGACAATTAGACGCTCCTAAACCCAAGCCAATTAAAATAATTAAAACCATAAAAGTAACTCTAGTACACTAGACCACATTACAAATGTGGTAACCGAGTGGCCTTTGCCTTTCACATACAGACTACTGTATATACTGTAAATACCTGCATTTCAAAAAGAGGGATCATAAATCTATGAAACTTGCTTATATTTGTCACTTAAGTCTTTGATATAGTAGTATTCACATGCATCAGTGTTTGGCCATTAACACTTTTGTAGAGTTGCTTATTCCCACTTAAGTGAATGAGAGTGGATTACCCCTGCAGCAGCCAATCAGCTCTCAGCCACAGCTCTTTCTCACATAGTTCACAAGATTTCTTATTAGGTTAACACAATGAATAGCAGTATGTATAGTTCTTTTCACTATTTACTTTCTCCATAACAAAAAAAAGTGTGTTCACAATTATACCAGAAAAAGGGAACAATAGATAATCTATATAGTCAAGTAGTCAGGTAGTTTATTGTAGTCGGCTGTGGCAATGGGTACAAGGGGTAAGTGAAAGCAGACATTTTTGGAGCACCAATTCTCAGTAGCTTACTAAAAGATGCATGGACTTTTAAAATAAAACGTAGACTTTACAAGGTACATTATAAATTATGTTAAATACTCACTAACAGCCTATGTTTAGATTAGTACATTTACAAGAGGCCACAGTTTACGTCAGATTTTAGCCAAAGCGGCATATCTGACAAATCCAAACTGTATCAGCCATACATACATTTGTGTCATCTTTGAGTTATGCTTGCACCCAATTATGTAATCTCTCTTTGCATTCCAAAGAGTATCCTGGGTGCTCTGAATTTCTCTTGGTGCAGCAGAGATGTGAAAGTAAACAAGGCAATGGTTTGCAAGGGAGCTTCAAAGACTTTTCAGTACTGGAACCTGATTGGCTCATATACACACACACAAAATATACCCAGACAAAAAGGTGTCCATGTTCAGCACTTTGAAACTGCAGTGGTTGTACATTAAACATTGTAATGAGAGGCCACATGTGCACTTAATTGCATTTTTGGAAGTACATTATAAGATTTATTTCTAGCCTCACTTGAGATGCAAGGATCATCTCCCTAAAATCTGCTGCTGGTACTTCAAAAACCCGTTGGATGCGATTGGATTGTCCCTTCCTCAAAAAGACAGGTTAATCCTCTTGAGCACTGAGAAAATCCGCAAGAAAAGACTGCTCTGATGCCAAAAGCCAGGAGTATTGAGTATTCTTCTGAGTGGCAGGAAAAGTCACCCCTGAGCAGCAGCAGCACTCAAATATAGAGCAACACCTCCCCCTAGTGGCGTATGGTTAAAAAACAAAAAAAAACACAAAAAAACCAAAACAGTCCAACTGATGTGATCTCTACTCAGCTACATCTCCACAAGCAACGAGATGCTGTTTGTGTTTTATCCCGATTATCTAGTGAGAATACCATGGAGCTCAGGGGGCAAGTCTGCTGCTGTCAGAGAGAAAGGTTGCAGTATAGAGTAGGATTATGCACCATGATGGGAAACTAGCAAATATTGGGGCTGTGCATAAGAAATTGCTTGCACTTTGTCATCAGATACGGAAAAACATAAGCACAGGGTGGATTTGATAATGGATGAACTCAAGAGGACAGATAGCTGGCAAAATCCACCAGTGATAAACAGCACAGGAAATGTAGAAAATGTTACAAGACGTTAACTGGATTAAACGGCAGAACACCAGTGGGACAGAGAAGAACCAACCAGGCAGATAAAAGAGGGAAAAAACTCAAGATTTATTGAAGGCAGAAGAAGTAGAGAACAGAGCACTAAAGTGGGGAGCGGGGCACATACACACACCGGCACTGTGTTCAGATACTTTAATAACTTTGTGTTACAAAAGTTGTTTTCACAGCTCATATGAGCTTAATATGTCTGTATCAAAATATACATGTTCTGTTCTGAACTTAAAGTGATATATAATCAAATGATTCTGTGGTACAAAAACATGAATATTTACAACCATCAACCAGCTTCATACAATATCCCCACCCCGCCCCCATATAAAAAAAGCTAAATAAAAACTTTAACAACAAAAGGCATAAATCTTCTACAGGTCACAGCCGCAGATCAGTTCATTAAGGATCATTCTACAAAGTAGGCTCTTTGAAAATAAATCAAACAAGGACTACAGTAATATACAGTATCCGATGATGAACACAACATGTGGAGACAGGACAGAGATTGTTACAGGTCCGGAATGTGACAGCACTCACACAGAGGCCAGAGGATACTGTACTTGGTCCAGGACAGCAATAACCGTGTTTGCTACATGTAAAACCACCCTTTACTAACAGAAATCTGGTCCAACATTTACAGGAGGGATGCACCGAACCAACATTTGCAAGTCAGACATTGATCCCGATACTTTGGCTTTCAATTCCTGCCAATACCTAATGTGAACAGATGCCAGTAGAGACTGAAAACTGTACTTCTCTCCACTCAAATCAGTTCAAACTTCTTACAAATTGGGCCCAAATATATATACACACTTTGATATTTATCCAGCAAAAAACATCGTCTACATGAACACAAATTAAAACCATGTATGTAAACTCTGTATTCAGGATTAATTTCAGCCAGTAATAGTTATGAAATATTACAAATAAAAGGCCTAAACATCAAAACAAAAGGTTCCAATAACAGCATCGATATCCGATACGAGTATTGTATCGGAGCATCCCTAGTTTAATGGCCAACACTCTGGAATAGATCATTTTAAGACTTGGGTGATAGCGCCTCGAGGACCAATCAATATCAAAGTGCACTAAGGCTCTGACTGGTCGTCAGACTGGACAGAGTCCTGAAGTGATGGAAAAGCCCAGGACAGCCATTACAATGCTAAGACAAAGAAGGTCGTGAGCTGCTCTTGTGGTAAGACTACCTGAACGTAAGGGGCTTAAGGCAAGGTCCAACCTGCTCCACAGGCAAGTCAACTCACAAGGCCAAGACTCCAATTACAACTCAGACCAAGGCACTGTAATGAGAATCAAACTACGTTACCAGTCTTTTTAGCTCAGTTATGATTAACAAGTAAATGCTATGAAAATAATAAATGAATATATAGATGTGAAATTATAGATGAACATATTGATTGAATAGAGTCCTTACCATCACTTCAAAAAGAGATAAAAGTGATGAGGACGAGACACGTGAGCTGGCTCCAGCGTCACCATTGTCAAAGCTAACAGCACTACATCAACTAACAAGGATATTAGGCATCTAACTGGCTTACATTCAGTTCTACATAAATGTCTATATAAAAAGGGCTACATGCTTAAGAATAACAGAACAGTATTTGATTTAAGGAAACAAAGCGTGTGTAAGCCACTTTAACCATGCTGGTACTGATTCAACAAAGAGCAGAAAAGATACTGATACATCATAAACGAGCGAGGGCTTAAGGCACTAGACCGGACACGGGGTCGTCGCTGAAACACAAATGACCTAAGATTTTAGAGTGGTGAAGGGTGGCGTCGAAGGCAAAACAATATTGTAACCATTTGTGACTGGCCAAGATGACTGACAGTGGCGTCTCAAGAAGGCACAGAGATCATGAAAACTAAGGAATGCTTGAGTGTGTGGAGGAGCGCTCCGGTCCTCATAAGCCGACGTGGAATTCTCCTGCAGATTTGGTCTAAAGTGACAGTTCAGCCTCAGCTCTGCCTCCACTGCACAGTTTAGAGGCAGAATGTTGCTCACACCCAGAAAAATATGCATTCATTAGGTTTGGGCACAAACAAGAACATGGAAATCAGGCGACTCCTGATTTAAGAAGCCTTTTACATGTAAACATCCCAACGTCAATGCTACCATGTTGGCTACACATTTAGCATTTATGTGGAAATGTATTGTATTAAAAATAAAATAAAATATACATTCAAGATGAAGTATATATACTTTGGTCTCTTTTGGACTACTTAAAAGTGCAGGTCCGGCTTTTTCCCCAAAACTAATAAAAATGCGTAGAATGGAATGAGCAAAAGTGAGCAACAATCTGTCACTAAACATGTCCAGACCCCTGAAGAGGAGCAGGAGGTCGAGGGTCCACGGAGGCACTTAGATGGTGGACTTGGAGAAGGACACGCGGAGGTGGTGGTTCTCTCCCAGGTCGTGGTTGTGGAACTCGATCAGACACTCTATGGCCTCTTCCACTGAGCCCATCTGGATCAGAGCCATCTTACGATCTTTCCTGGTGACACACAAACATAGCAGATCTTTTACATGAGGTTTCTCAACATCCGTAGACAGAAAAGGTTCATGAGCAGATAGGCGTCTAAAATGTAATCTTTAAACTGATGTGTTGGTCCTGAGTTCGACCACAATGGATGCTGTTCATTTTACTTCTATTTGACCCAAGTTCAGAGCTGGAATGATCCCAACTAACTGCTTGACGGGTCACGGTGTATTTTCTTTTATGATATAAATAAGAGGTACGGTCATAAGCAGCAGTGTCCAGTATGTTTTAGATTAAGCTGCTGCAACATATTAAGACAATATTCTCAATCATCCTTTTCAGTGAAAGACAGAACTCTGCCAATCAGCTCTCGGTATATAAACACTTACTAAGACTTATTTGCTAAAACAAACAAGACTTTCTGTTGGGACAAACAAAATGTATTCCTCCAGCTTTAGGTATATTTAGCAGGACAAAATCATTCATTCAAAATCAATAAAATGTGAACAAAATGGTACTTACTGAAAGAATTTGAAGGCTTTGACTGTGGCTCCTGAACTCGCGAACAGTCTCTTCAGGTCATCTTCCATCACAGACGGACTAAAGGTAAAACATAGAACTTATTTAGTTTGCATCATCAGTTTACAGTGTGGGGAAACGTGGTGAAAACTGACGGGATGTTGGAGAGGTGGAGTGTGGCTGATGGGGGGAAGATATTAGAGTAGTTCTTGGAGCCGGGCTTCTTGAAGCGGTGCAGCGGCGAGTTGCTGAAGTCCTTGGTCAGGCCCTGGTCCTCGTGGCCTTCTCGAGGCAGCTGCACTGTTGTGTGCTTGGACAGAGTTACGCGCATGGCTCTCCCATGGAGCCGCTGTCCGTTCAAGTGACTCATGGCTAAAAATACAACAAAAATGGTACAAATTGATTGAAAAATGTGATCATACTCAGGCGTTTAAATCCTCCTAAAATACTAGTTTGACAAAGGTTTCACAAACTCAGTTGTCTCTGGCTCAATAAAGAAATAATGAACCAACTTTAGCTCAAAAACTTTGAGGTAAGGTATTTTCAAAGTTTGATAAATGTTTATCAACAGTAGGCCCTTCGGGCAAGTACCATTTATATTTTACTTACCCAATGTAAAAATTTACTTGCCCAAATATTTCTCAATACAATGAGTTAGTGGCACTAACTGTGGAAAAAAATATCCCAAAATCAACTCTCAGCCCAAAAAGCCAAATAATAATTCACAAGGCAAGTATGCAAAAAAATGCAAGATGGCCGGTTTGTGTGTGTTCTATTTGATTTGTTTCAAAGCATTTTACCAACATGCATTGTTAATGCAAAGGAAAATTTATCTTTAATTTCATGAGTTTTGGTTGCGCTTCAGTAGGAGACATGGGGGAGATCGGCACTTGCAACAAGCAGAGGACGGTCCTGTCGGCAAAGATAAACCACTCCCGGCTCTAGAGGTAGAAATGCAGGAATGCGTTCCTGGCCTGAATGGGCGGGCTTAAGTAACACTAATGTTAAACATCACTTGCCAAGACAACACACTTGTCCGTCCCAAATCTTTAGTTGCCCCGGGCAAGCGGACAACTATTAATGTTGAGCTCTGGAATACAATATGCAGGTTAACAGCAGTGGTCATTATTGCATCTGTACCTAGTTGAGCCTGTGTGCCATCAGACATTTGCACCAGAGCATTCTCCTTCTTATTGAAAAGAATCTTCACTCTCATGACATCGCCATACACACCTAGAATTAGAAAAACGCACAAATGTTACATCACGATACCAGCTAACCGTGTAAAACAGTCACATCCAATCACAGCAACAAAATGGTAAAATCAGAGCATTTTATCTACGATACTATGTAATGCTTAGTGATTATCTAAAGGCTACTTCTCTTGGCTAAATCAAAGCTAGTCCTTCCGAGACTAAAATGGATAATTAAAGATGGCGGTGTGGTGGTTTGGAGAGGAAGATCTGAAGACAAAATCAAAGTGCATTTAAATGTGCTAAGTGTTTTGTGATTAGCAGTAGAGAAGACATTTATCTCTAAAAAGACATGCAGGAATGAGCTAGACATGCACCTACGTAATATTAGACAATATGTAATCTTATGACATATTTGAGCTATGTCAACACTGATCCACTACAGAAGCAGCCACATTTCATACCATTTCAAGTTTTTCTCAACTGGCAGGTTTGGGGAAAAAAAACAGAACCGCACATTAAAATGTAAAGTATAAATGGTGAGTCATAAAATTAAAGAAGTCCCATCTGACCAGTTGAGAAACACATGACTAAATAAATTCTGGTCAAATTTGAAAATATCAATTTGGTCCAGTTTGCCTAAACCAATGTTTCCGTCACTTATGGACCGGAACAAATCAACCTTTCAGTTTTAACTAAAGTACTGAAATTACACGCGAGTGCTTTCATAAATACTAGGGCTGTAATTAAGCAAACTAAATGTAATCAAAAGAATACATGCCGAAAAAGGTCAGTGTATATGGGATTTGTTGTTTGAGAAAAATGCAGTAACTTTTAAAAAAATGATCTGAGTCACAAGACCTCTTCAGCATGTTTAAGTCAATGTTAGGTTAAAACTAAAAAATAGTTAATAAATTAGTTGGCAACCATTTCAAAAATTGCATCGCTTGTTGTTACAGCCCAACTAAATCCAGCATTTGATGCATAAATACGGAATCAAATAATCTAATTAATATGGCCATGAAATGCAGCAGCTTCTACTGTCCCCGCCTCTCCTTCCTTCCACAAACCCACATCAACCAACACAGCTCAGACCACCCCCAAAACCAAATGTTAACACCCCCGCCCGCCCACAGCCCTGCAACCTGATGACAAGCCATCAGTGGTTAAAAAGCAAACATCATGAGACAAGACATGCCCACCTTGCCGGGTAACAGTAGTCATAAAAAAGGAGATGAAAGGATGATAACGTACCGAAAAGAATAAAGAGGCAGTGTGGCGTAACGCTCTTTAGAGACAGCAGGGGGAGCAGCGGGGCCAAAAAAGGGGACAGGGGAACAAGGGGGAAAGAGCGGAGTGGAGGAGAGTGGAGTCGGGCGGGACATGTCCGCGGGGCAGCGAGGTCCACCGGAAGGCCACCATGGAGGAGAGGCATGAGGGACGAGCAAAATATGGAGACAGAAATAGAGGGAGAGATGGGGAACGGATGAGTGTCAGATGTCATGTTTGGAAGTTTGGTTTGGGGAGGTGGATTTTGGATGCCCGGATTGGGGGACGATGGATGAGGAGAGATGTGGGGGGTTTAGGTGACAGGTGTGGCAGCGGGGCGAAGGACAGAGGGAACAATTATTGGTCATGGGTCGTGCAGTCAGTTTGGAACAGGGGGTCAAAACAAAAGAGTCGGGGAGAGAGGGACAGAGGAGAGAGAGGGGAAAAAAAAGGAAGTAAAAACAAGGTCAGTATACACAAAGAAATGTAGTGCTTCAGACAGTAGAACTGGCTAAATTAAAATGCACTGTCACTATGGGAACACTAGGAGAAAAAAACAGAAGAAAAGATTAACAATGAAATACAGAAAAAGGCAGAGACAATATGTACTTTTAATACTATGCTTTTCATATTCTACATTGATATTAACAGAAAAATATATCATATTAGCTCAAATATAAAACAAAACCTATTAAACAGTGATATTACTAAACCATGTGGGACTACTTACTCATGCTACACTTCATAATTAGCAATTCTAAAAATAAACTGTATAATGCTAAAATGACAAAAGTAATATTGTCTCTCCAACAACATAAGAATGATTCAAACTAATGGACAAAAATGAAGATATGAAATGGTAAGTTCTCTTGTAAAAAAGAAGTTAGTGTTTTAAATAAAACTTAAAAATTCACAGTGAGCAAAGTGGCAGGTTGGAAATACAGCAGGATTGGTCAAACACAGAGAGGTCCTGATGGAAACCCCAAAACTAAAATGTGTAGGTCACATGGAGAATGCTTTATACAGAGGACCTTTAAGTCCTGTAACGCCTCACTGTGTCATTACAGACGTGTTGTGCGAGTGCTGTGTGAGCTTGAGCTGAATGAGAGCACTGACCTCTGGGTTCAGATTGCTGACCAACAGGACGTTGTGACCAGCGGCTGCTGTGAGGCCCGTGAGGCCGAGGCGAGAGGCAGCGGCGGCCGCAGCTGCCATACCTGAATGTCCCACGCCCAAAGACGCTAGGGCGCTGGGGATACCAGGCATAGACAAACCTGGAACAAAGCAAAACCGATTATCTTGACACAAAATGTGATGAACACAAATCAATAACATGTCTAAATTGGGAACTCTAAAAGGCGTGCAATGTTTACCTGCTGCTTGCTGAATGGCAAATGCTGGTGGGAATGCATGAGCGCCCCCATATGGAGAGGCCGAGATGAGGCCTGGACCTGATAAAGAGCAAAGTAAAAATGACCATCTTATATTCAATGCATTATAGAACTTCATAAATCAGAATATTTCAGTGTGTACCAAAAGCTGCAGCGGTCATATGGTCCATAGTCGGCTGGGCGTCTGCGGTGGGCAGGTCCGGGCGGGTGTAGTCCCTGCTCTTGTCATTGTTGTACTTCACATTGAGGCTGGTGAGTTTGGAGAAGCTGATTCTAAGAGTGCAGCATGCATTGTAGATGTTCTGTCCATCTAGAGACTGGAACACAAGACCGGTCAGAACAGAGGATCATAAGCAAAACACAAGTCATGTTGTCTAATTAATAAATAGATAACATCAGGCAGCCACTTACCAGTTTTGCATGCTGGGCAGTCATAGAATCAGCATACTGGATCAGAGCTTGGAATTGATTATTCTTCGTAAAAGTGATAATTTTCAGGACAGTGCCGAACTTGGAAAAGATCTGTTAAAAAAAATAAAGACATTTATAAGATGAACAATTGATAAAATGCTTCCATGAGCTGTAGTGAAATGTTCCCACCTGGTGTAGAACATCCAGGGTGACTGGGTAGAAGAGGTTTTCCACAATAACTCTGAGCACAGGGCTTTGACTTGTGGGGCCCCCAAGACTTCCAAGTCCTCCTAGGCTGCTGGTGTCTGCGGCGATAGCCATGCCCCCCATAGCGGATCCATGCAGAGCGTTCACTGCCTGCAGAGCTGCTTGAGCACGCTACAGAAATGCAGTAGTTAAAACATTATTGCTTGTTAAATGCAGGAAGTGCCTTCTCTTTTTTGTACTCACTACTTGGTTGGGAGAGTTGTCAGTCTTGAGCTCCTTGTGTGTAGAGTACTGGAGGAAAACTGGCTGGTTTCTGATGACTGGAGTGGCAGTAGAGTAGTAGCTGACCATAGTCTGGGCACACTCCTCACTGTTGAGCTCTAGAAATGCCTGTGGGAGGCGAGGGTAAATATATTAATAAAACTCAATAAAACATTTGTTCTATTGACAAAACTGCTGTAGCACCATATACTGAAAAAAGCTGCCAAATAAAGCATGTGGAGTTCTCTTTACCTGGTTCTTCCCTTTAAGCATGAGCAGATTAGTGACTTTTCCAAATGGCAGTCCAAGGCTGATGACCTCTGCCTCGTTGATGTCGTTGGGCAGCTTGCGCACATGCACCACACGTGACGGGACGCCAGGGCTACGAACGTCTCCTTTGAATTTCTTGCTGTCGTTGCCATTGGCTGCAGCAGGAAACAAGCAGATACAATCAGGAGGAGAGAAGAGAACAGAGAGCTCAGGTTGTCTTGAATAATGGATTGCTCACCATGACAACGCAAACAACACACACATTGACAAACACTTAGGGGGTGGGGGATGTACTCCTTCCATGGTAACCCCCCCTTCTCACCTGAGTTCATGATATAGGGTCCGTTGGAAACGCTGGAAGAAAAGAGTTCGTCGGATCCCCTCTGCAAACACAAAACAATAGTGTAATTCATGCTAACTGCAGAAGCAGCAGCAGCAGAAGCAGCAGGTGGGCAGCGCCGGTGTTACCTGACCCATTGTTTGATAAGGTAGAAAGTAATCTGATAACCGAAAGAGGATCAAGCGAACGCAGCCAAAACACATTCTTCATTAGGAGAGATTGAGTCACTTTACATTTGTGTGTGGTAGAACATGCTCATGGTTTTGACAAATTTTTTGAAAGACTAGGGGAATAACAATGTTGCTGAAAAACCTACCATCCAACATTTGTGAGCATGTCACTGTTCATAGCTGACCAACATGTTTAAGTGGTTTAAGGGTTTCCAGCTGCTGACCAGCGACCATGACAAGCTTTCATCTCATCACTCACTATAAAAGAGGACATACTGCTGGGGCCTCAGACCAGATGGGAATCCTCAGGCTTACAGAGAGGGCTAGTGTCTCAAACAAGCACGTCTCACTCCTCCATAGTTGTGTTTAGGGACCGCTCTCTTTGCTCTGTGTTTGTGGTCTCTGATATGAAGTGCAGCAGTCATAAGAAGTGGCTCAGCAGTCTAAGCTCTACGCGGTGTTACAATGGAGCTCCTGTTTGCATTGATACTGGGGCCATTGTTACAGAGAAACACACACACGAGAGAGACGAGTCCTACGGTGGTAAAACAACCAGTGCTGCAGGTCAGCGCACATTCCACATCTTGAGATTCAGAAGGGAAAGAAATCTGTGGTTTATGCTTGAAGTCACTAAGTCTATGATCAAACAAAAAGGATTTAAAAGTAAGCTGTAGTTTTTCAACTGGAGTTAAGGTAATTAAAAAAAAAAAAAATACAAAGCATATGGAGTGAAATACCACAGTCAAACAGCTTCTGCCTTCAGCTAAACAAAATGGGGCAAACGTGTGACGTCATTACCAGATGTGAGCCACAGGACACTGGGGAAGTGACCCCAGGCTTGTGAAGGCGATAAGGCAACATAATGTGGCTGATTTCCAAGGTTTAGCTTAACTTCCTTGTGAGAACTGACAATGGTTGCTGTGTGACAGGAACAGACTGCTCCCCCAAACTTCCTCAGTCTCAGGATAACACAAATACTTAACAATGCTTTACAATCACAAACCATATAACTAGGAAGTGATAGAGCGTGTCCACAATCCAATCCTCACATAACAGGGGTGCACTATAAACACATCTACTTTTCCCTTCCCTAAATTGTTATCAATTGTATTGCTGTTATAGATTTTAGTAGCCCTCTATAACTTAAAATGTTTCAGGGCTCCACTTTCTTTATCTGTTGCACATTACATTTCTGAAAGAACTCCTTTGAGACATTGTTGACTTCTACGTTTGCAAAAACTTACAAAACCTAAATGCATGCAACTCCAGACAAAACAATTTACCAGGAGCACATGGAACCAACTAAGCAAAACATAAACATCTATTAGCGCTGGCAAGGTTAAGTCATAAAAAGCCCATGGGGAGACGCACAAAGGGGAGAACAAAGGTAGAGACATGTTTGCCCATGTTTCCAGTGAAGGGGGTAGGGCGCCGTGTCTCTCTGGGGGCTGGAAGGGTTAGGAATGTGACCACAAAATACCAGACGCTTCGCCCGGACCCAATAATTACAGATTCCAGAAAGGCACTGGCTCCATAATTGAGCAGCATCCGTGTTTTACCCAAAGCTGACGGTTTGCACAAAGTCAACCAAATGGAGCTTTGCAATTTTTCCCCCCCACAGTTGCAGTATTGTGTAGGAATAAGCGGCTTTGCAAAAATACATGTGCGGGAAGGGGGGTGTATTTGTCCTAAAGGCGTGTTTCTGCGGCCTTGTTTAAACAGCGCAAAGACCTTTGCCCGACAGGATGAGGACAGTCGCAGGAGGATGGTTTGTTACAGTGGTTAACTGCCCGAAAGCTTTGTAAATGCACTATAACAAGGTTGAAATTTGGGGTAAACCAGAGGACCAGCAGTCTGCAGTAAACATGTACCTTCTCAACAGTAACAAATGCACTAAGTCAAGCATAACATGAACCTAATTTCCGGATATTTCTTTAATCCGAGTCATGTCCCTACACTGTTAAGGCCCACAATCAGTAGTGTTCAAGGCCGGTAGGTAGAGGGACATGAAATAAACAGGAAGCCTCACTTCCTATGCAACTCAACACGGGGACAAAAAACAACTCCGATAACACAGATTGCGTTCTTTTCAACCCAAAGGTTAGAACAGGTTTCACTTCATACATGTTTAAATAGTGAGGGTGTCAGCCAAATAAGTGGTGCAATAACGTTGTCATTATACAAAATGGACACACTGAAAGTTCATTTTAAATGCATAGAAAATGTGTATTGTACAGGAAAAACCTATCTAAGACAAAGGAAAATAAACGTACCTTCGTGCCAACTGATATGTCATGGACACTGCTGGAACAAAAACACACGATGACAATACCAGTTAGTAAATGTAAATAAGTAAAAGCAGTGATGCAAAGAAAACCCCCAGCAAAAAACAAACAAATGGATATTGATCATATACGTACTCAATTTCAGGGACGTAGCCGGCTCCCAGCGGGTACAAGTCAGCGTCTAGGCGGCTGTAAAGGCAAAACAAAACAGACTTTAACGACAGGATTTGAGATCTATACAAGGATGTGCGTAACCAACATGTTCCTGAAAGCAGCGCCGCAAGCAACAGGTCCGAAGATCAAACGAGCTCAAAACACGAAAAATACACATGACAACAACCCATCTCCCCCCGATCCAGAGATAGATAACCCACCGAGCAGTGTTTAATCAAATCAGCGTTAGATCCCCCAAGCCAGACATCCCCGACATGGCCTTGGTTCAGACAAGAGCAGAATGAATGCGGAAATGAGACACGTTGCTTTAGCTCCGCTCGAGTTCCCGTGAAACCAAGTTACCAACACACAACATAAAACAGCACATCCCAGCCAAATAATGCATAGAAAACACGTGTATGCACAAGTTTAGCACTTCTGTAGTATAATATTGACGAAAACATGATCACAGCAACACTGGCCGTTGGCTAACTGAACTGCTGCTAACTGTTGCTTGTTTTCATGAAAAACTCCGTCAAGTAAACTTTTCCTATTGTTTCAGAAGACAGCCATCGCGTCCAGAATACTTCGCAAACTAATCTAACACAGAAGCGAACGCGGTTGTGCGAGCGTTTATAGTGAAATTGTGCCTTTAGATGCTGTTCTTTTCACTTACCCGTCCATTGCACAAGAAAAAAACTGCAGGTCTGAGGAGAAGGTAGGGCGGCACACTCGCTTGATTTTCTTACAAAATGGCTGAACTGAAGGAGGCACGCGCTGATTGGTCAGTTCCGTTCTAAGGGGCGGGGACTAGAGGCGCCGCGGCCCGTGATTGGACAAAACGGCAGTCATTAGTCATAGGGGAAGTCCGCGGCAAATTTCCACATCACCCACTCACTTCGATCGAGTTTACAGTCTTTTGGATCTAGTTAACTGTCTTTGGACCCAGTCTCCCTAAAAACCGAGCAGTAGTAGTGGTGTGTGCAGGCGTGATTGGTGGTGGGCCGATGGTACGGATTAGCAACTTCGCTTCTGTCTGTCTGCCCAGCTGTAGCCGCTGTAGTTGTTTACCTTTTTTGGTGTCATGAAAATCGCTATATAAGTAGTAGGTTATAAGATGTGATAGACTACATTGATCTCACATTGGAGAATTTAGTTTACACACTCTTTGCCTGTGTGCAGCCATCGTCACACTCAGAGCTGCAGGGAGGAGTGTGTTTATGGAAGCAGCGGTTTGATGACCTCTGAAACATATGGTACACATTAGGCCAGTCCAGTATGTATAAGGCTCTTTGTTCTTGTGTTTCAAGTAGGTTGCTGTAATGCCGAATCCATATTATAGACAGAAATAATTAATCCATAAATTCACAGAAGTTGGTTAAATATACCATTCTGTAGAAAAGCTTTTGCTTCGTTTGTTATTTGTTATACATTGCGGTTAAATTATGTAGATTAGATATTGCTAATGTTATTCTTGATTCATTACAATGCAAATATGTTTTTTTAAATTGTATCTAGTTTTGCTGTTTAAAGCAACTGTGGTGAAAGTTAATCTCATCATTCTAACAATATGCTCAAGGCAGTACTTTTCCACTACTTTTTTGGGTTATCTAAATGCCAAGCTCCTTCATGCTGCATAATATTGTCTTGATTTATGCCATACCAATATTTGAGGAGAAAGCTGGACATTCAACTTCCTAATTAGCATTTTTGGTATCAAGAAAAACACTCATTTAGAACAAGTCTAAAACCAGTTTAACAGGAATCCCACAATTCTGAAACTATGAGAACTCCCAGAGTTCAAATCACTTAGTTTTATTTTAATGGTAAGGTTTTTACCTTTACTCACTTTTAATAAGCATTATATAAGCATTGTTTATAAATCAAACTGTGCTATGAATAAGTAAAGTCAAAGTGATTTATATGTATTCATTATATAATTTAGACCTTTTCTACATTTAATAAGTTTGTGGCTTACATAGTTTAGTTACAGGATCTTTGCTCTACTTTTCGGACTGTAATTATTGAAGTAGCCTGCAAGTCTGCCTCCAGGCCACCTATCACTGAGGTGATCTTTGTAGTATGCTGATACCTGACCCCTGCTGCTGGGGTAATGCTCCACCCTCTGCTTGCCATTGTTTCCTTCATTGTCTCACACAAACATTAGGTTACATGTCACATAAAAGCAGGTGTGGGAGAAACTGGGCTTGAAGAGCCATTGCTGCCATTTCCAGTGGCTTGAAGAAGTATCCATACCCCTACGGACTTTTCCAGACTTTGTCAAATTATATCCTCGATATACAAACATATTTCCGTGTTAAGATCACCAAAAAGTGGTTAACAAATGTGAGGTGAAACAAACAATATGCATGTTTTATTTGATTTGGTGTGGCCTGCCAAAGTCTTTAGCCTCCATGAGTCAACAGCCCGACCAGCCATTTACCATCACACAAAAGGTCCATAAAACACAGATTTGTGTAAAGTATGCCTAATATTTGTCCAATGTAGATTCCACCAGGTGAGATATCGATGTCTGCAGTTCCTGCAGTTTCTACTGCCGAGCCTCCCCAAAATCTTCGCATAACTTGAGAACAGAGATTACATACAGGTGGGTTTAATTGTCAGTGCAAGATGTGAGCATTCAGCACTCATCAAAGGCAGTCAGATATATGCATGTCAAGGCAAGACAAATGTCAAAATGTGTACATCGAAAATTAGAAGGGTTTCATGAATCAAAACATTAGAGGCTGAATTAAAGGAAGAATAAACAACAGACGTGACAAATATGATGATGCCACTACAGTACACAACCCACACATACAAGTTCAGAGAGGGCATTAAACATTTGCATTTGTAGAAATTACATTTAATGTTATACCCCTAAATCTTTATTATTATATATATTTTTTAATTCTTTTTAATTTTTACATCCTGTCTTTCCTGATTGAGCCCCCTTAAGTCCCAGTGGATTTCACAGGGGCGCTGTGGGGCTTGGCATTCATGGGACAGGAATGTCTTCAGAGGCCCAGATTGCAGTCTGTTCCTCCTGAACATTTTGAAGACTTTTGACCTGATGGTCTTCTGTGATTGTGGTCTCTGGAGTGGTCCAGCTGGACCATCTGATGTTTGACTGCTGCCTCTGTGAAATCTTCACTCTGGATGAAGTGTGAGGTGCCGGGGCCCACAGGTGATTGTGCGTCCTGCAGTCGCACAATCACAATCTGAGCTCTGATGTCCAGGGACAGAGGGGCTTTGTCCAGGGGCTTTCGAGCCATCACAGACACTACGAGGGTCTGCTCTGCCTGTTCTACTGGAACAAGGTCCCATTTTCTGTGCTCCTCTGGAAGACTGTGGACGTCCTGTCCAGATGAGACCTCCTCAGGAGTGGGGGTCTCTGTGGGGACCTCCACTAATGTAGGGGTCCCTGTGCTCCTCTGGAGGAATGCGGATGTCCTGTCCTGAGGATGGGGTCTCTGATGGGACATCCTTATGTGTAGGTCTCTGATGGGACCTCTTCAGATGTAGGGATCTCTACACAACTTCTACACAAAACTCTACTGCATATTGGTCACAGTATTTGAAGTAGACAACCTTCAGGAGGTCATTGCTTGCGCACCATTAGGATCTCTGTCAGGTCACTGATGGGGACTTTCTTATAAAAGAATGGAGCTCTAATGAGTCCACCAGCTCCATGTGGGGTCATGGCCTCTAGGTCCAATTGGCTTCTTTAAACGTTACATTGCATAGTTCAATTGATGTCATTGGTGTTTCATTAGCATCAGCAAGAACGCAGATTTCTATAGCAACAGTTCTCTCGCGCATGCGCATATTTACTTTAAAAGCAAATGGTATATTTTGAGTGACAGTACTCGCATGTCAATTGTTGCATGAATAGATCTAGTATGGTGGAGCGTGTGCGCCCTCTTCTGGCTGTAGTAACATTTGGTCTCATCCATTGAAATCATAGTTTTTTTATTTGACGTGCAGTTTAGGGTTCACTTCTTGACTCCAACACTTTTGCAAACACTGAATGCAAATACTTAATGCTCAATACATTTTATAACTCATAGCTCATTATATACATTTTCTTTTCATTTTTTTGAAACAATATGCTTGAACTGTAAATAGGTAGTATAGAAATTAATACACATTCTCACTTCAGTAACTACTAATGTCAGATTGCCTACATTTGTATAGTGTAAGCAGTCTGCCCAGACTTGATATGGATTTTATGGTGATTGCTGATTCAATGCTCTGTCACTGATATTAAACTCTATGCACTTCAACCTTATATTTTGACTGGATGAATATTTTGTGGATTGAAGTAACATGCAAATATTGTAACTAGTTTATTGAAAAAAAAAAAATCTATATATATATTTATATTTTTTGTCACTACCATTTAACCTGAAAAAACTCTAAACTGTATTTTTCAAATGACTGACCTCAGTGCTTTCTTTGAATATAGACTTATCTGTATTTAGATTATCATTATTGTTACACCTTAACACTCCTGTTCATGTTTTTTTAAGTTTGCCTCTTTGTATTTTTATTATTATTATTATTTTTTTCTGAAAATGTTTGTATTTTTACTCAGTCCTTGGAATATGTATAATTCTGCTTTATTACTTGTCTCAAAGCTTTTTTTTGTTGTTGCATTTATTATTATTATTTGTCTTGTTGTTAAATAGTCACACATTGGGGGGACTGTCCTGATGTATGTTTTGTCCTATGTGTTTATTGTACTGTGTTTTGTTAAATGTAATCTGTGTTTTGTGTTTATGGACCCCCTTGAAAAAACACGATGGCTCATCTCAAGGGGCATTCCATTAATAAAATAAACTAAGCTACTCCAATAATTCTAAAAACTATAACTGAACAATAAATATTGCCAGTGTTTTATCCAGTTTAATTAATAGCCTATATTAACAAAAATACTCAATAGAGCTTTTATGATCTGCTGAAAACAATATTTTATTCAAGGTTAAACACTGAGACAATCACAGAATGAACAGGCATTGGTCTAACACAAGGTGACTTCTGCTGCAGTCCCGGAGACCCACGACAACCAAAAGTTTAGAGCAACATTGCTGCACATATACAACAATATGATGCACAGATGAAGCCTATAGCAGGGTATGACGGATACATGGTGTTAAAAGTTTACAACAATGAATCACACAGGCATCCCATAATACCACAAACCTATATAAGTTGCATTAAAAAAACTGGGTCCTCGAAACGGCCATCCTAAGAGACCATATTTTTGCATATGTCCTATATAGAAAGCTGCAATCTCTTCAAAATAAAAGCATGGGTAAAAGGCAGTGTTTTGAGACGGTATTTTGAAACCCGAAGCAGAGCCTGAAAGAAATACTCAAAACGAATGGCAACAAACAAGACAAGTCCAACTCAATGAACCTGCAAGGCACCGACAATACACCGAATGTATGTATTTTTTTTTTACACAACGGAGAATGTATTGTGAAAGAGTTTGAAGTTGTACATATGGAAAGCATAGAGCGCAATTTTTCAGTCCATGCCTGCTGACCTCCCGTTGGAATGTGTGAGGGAACTCAGAGGCAAGACTTGAGACAATCCATCCTGTACGGAACGTTGCTTCTCTCTGTAAATGCTAAAAGGAGAATTCAGTGTATCCATAATGCTCTTTCTATAGATCAGGATTGGATTCATAATGGACAGACAGAAAGACGAACGGACAAAACCCAGCAATAGCACCAACTTCTGTGAAAAAAGCTCAACAAAGCATGTGAATAATGTAGCGTATAGTGGCTGAGAATCACTGACTTATTCAGTTGTAAAGCCTCAACCGGCCACAGCAGATAAAACATTTGACTAAAGGATTTGCTTAAGATCTAGGTGCAATTAAACTATTATTAAAGCTGGGGTACCTCACTTTCAACCCACACAAATGTAACTATGTGGTCAACTAGTCCCTCGCTCTCTCTCAAAGCAGCTTGCTTCTATCTCTAGTTTTACATGTATGTATTTTTTTGGCCTCTGTCACAGATATTTAGATCAGCTTTTTCAGACAGAGAAATGAAAAAGAGAGGACCACTGTCACTCAGCCAATCAGCTTTCAGACGTGTCAACTCCTGCCAAAATGCAAAAGACAGCCTGTAGTGGTCTGATTTGATCACAACTTTATTCTTTTACAAGACTCATTCTGTTGTGACAAACTTGTGCTATTTACGAAACATAAAAAAGTTAGGTACTCCAGCTTTAAGTGATACAAATAACTGTGTGAGTGTGAATCAATTCAAATCTCACACCAGGGGTTAAAAACGGACACAAAATGCAACAGCCGACTGAATAACACAGAATTGACAACATTTTATTTGGTTCATGTAGAGGAAAATGAGATATTAATAATAAAAATAACAAAAAAATTGCAAGCCAGACATTACAGCGGCTGTCCCAATTTAACCCCTGTTTTGTTACATTCATGTGGAAGTGATGTGAACAGACCAAACAGTGACGAGACAAGAGTTTGCAAGGCTTCATGCACTGCTACCTTAGTGTTAGGATTATTTTACATGGATTCAACGGTGTGAAAACAAAAGAACGTCGTCAGTCGCTGCGTAATGGCGTGATAGTAATTAACGTAATGTAAAAACAATGCAGTAGCTGGATACAGTGCTGTGCAAAAGTATCATGTGGAGAAATTGAACCAAGCACCCTTATTATTATTATTATTATCCCATTTTCGATGATAATAATTACCATCATATTTGTCTTTTTCATCATATTGCCACACACGTTTGTACATTACTGTATCCACAAACTATAAGTCTTCCTCCTGTGAAACTCGCCTAATCCTAAATAGTTACAATCGCCCAGTGTAACCAATATAATACATGTGCATTCATGATTCTAAAGCAAAGACACTTACTTATATGATTGTAATCTGCTTTCAAGCTCACATGCAGTTGATGGATTGAGATGATTCAGAACCAAAAAACAATAAATACATTGTATAAAACATAATTTCATATCAATATATTAAAATACTATTCAAAATAAGATCTCAGACAATATTGCAACTATGACATTGACCGATAAATAGTTGATTAGGCCAGAAATATATCTTTGCTGTGTCCTTCATATAGTTTATTTAACGTTTGGGAGATTATCCAGTTTTGCCTTTCCGGAGTGAGCTAATACATTTTGACTTTTGTTCAACAATAATACCAATGACTTTACAGTACACAGTCTCATAATAAGATATATAATGAATACAATATAAATGTCAAGACAGAAAAATAGAAAAATATCAATCAAAATCAAAACTCAAATACATTTTGGAGAAGTTGTTAGACATTGAGTCTTTCTTGAGCTTGGGTGGGCTCTTGTTTGTTGATATTGGCTGTGTTTCGGCTTTAATTGTGTAACTTTGTCCCGTCCTGGCGCACACACACACAGGCACGCACACGCTCACATGACCGTGCAGCACTTGCAGCTCTGTTTCTTTTCCTTCTTCTCCTCCTCTGCTTTCTCCTTATCCGCCATGCTACCGTTAGGAGGGGCCTGCTCGTCGGTGGCCCCCTCGCCGCCCTTCCCTTCCCCGTCTTCGATCACCACAAACTCGGCCTTCACGTTGCCGTCCACTCCTTCCATGGCGGCGCGCGACTCCTGCTCCTCCTCCACTGTCTTGTATCCCATGAAGACCAGCGTGACCGGGTTGTCTGCGCTGGCCTGGTCTGGACTGGGCCCCAGCAGCTTGGCCTCCACCCCGGTGACCTCTCGCTTGGGAGTCTGGCCCGAGTTCTGCACCACTCCGTTCTCACCTGCAGGGGGCGACACAGTGTCAGCAGAGGCAACAGAGCAATTGTCAAGCAGGATTTGAACATGCAGGATACAGATGTGTTTGCAAGTTTACACACACAGCCAGAAATGTCATTGTTTTGGCCATATTTCAGAAATAAATTATGATCGATATCACAAACACCTTGTTATGGTTGTGTGGAGCCATTAATATAAAAGAAAGCTCAACATATTTTCTATTTTTGTACAATTCAAATAAGGAAGCCCAGGAATGTTTTTAAAGCTTTACCATCACACAAGACTCCAAGCTGTGAGAGATGTTAAAGGGGTGTACAACTTCTATCATTTGAAAACAGAATACAGGTATATTTGATGAATGAAAGGTGCCCCACAAACAAACAATGACTGAGAAAAACGTTTTTACATTATCATTCATGATATCTGAAATGTACTGGCTGGGTGTATATGCTTTTTTAGCTGAAAAATACATTGGGTTTAACTGTTTATTATTTAATACAGTCTGAGACTTTGAAAACTATACTAACTTAAATAGAGTGTATTATTAATAATTACTACAAAAACGTATGTTATTGATGGTTCTATTGCTACGTGCAGAGCAGGGGAATGATGACCAGAGGGAGAAACCAGATGAGAAGAGTGGTGGTCTGTATTTACACAAATTAACATTATCCTTAATTTCAGATGATGTACTGTATATCCAACCAAAAACATGCTTCTAAATGTGGTATGTGTAACACATAAAAGTGATCACACACATTCAGGAACAGTGCCTTTTGGTTATAAATAGTTTTACATTTATTTACAATTACTTTTTGAAGAGTTTTAACTGGATGTTTTTATTATCAAACAGGTGATTAGCAGTCATTTATAAAACAGTAAATTAAACAAAAATAGATGTATCTTCAATACAATTGAGATACGCCATTTTGTTTCATTCCTAGTAATAAATTATTATAATCTGATTCAATGATTCCAGAGATCTAGATACTACACCATGACAAATTCCAATTTGAGGCCTCACATAACTATATCATTGTACATGGACACTAAGCCTTCAGGGACTAGACTGGTACAATACTTCTGTCCTTATGGCTAATGTTTATTGTACACTGTATCTGTACAAATTAAAATCACACCATACCAGCTATGTATAAAGTAATAGTACATTCATGTACAGTCATAATTATTCCAGATGTTTACGCTTCTATCTGTACCTGATCCATCTGGCTATCTGTCACTGTATCAATTCAATAAAATGCAAGTCGTGACTCCTGTATTATGTATAAAAAAGACTCCTGTTGGTCATAAATTCAGCTAATACACAGATAATTACACACTGACACAAACTGGTTAATGCTTAATACCAGGGCTGACGTGAGAGTTGTTATGGGAAACACAGGGCGTTTATGATGATGCTATTATTAGCTCTGCTTGTCTTTTGTGACTGAGGTGGACTGGAGAGGTTGCCATGGTTTCGAGTTGCCTCACCTCCATTCTCTTTGGCCCCGCCCCTCTCTGACACGCCTGTCTCCAGCTCCTCGATCTCCTGCTCCAGCCTGCATCACAACAGCACAGAACAAGACGTCAGGTCACACAATCCATCACGCTTCAAAATAGCACAGTAAAAATAGAACCAAGGTAAAAAACATGCAGTACAATAAGACAGTGAGGGAGGGTGACGAGAAAAAACTAAACAATGTTGCTTATTTACCCAAACATAAATAGTTGAGAGAATGTTGTTGTTGTACACTACACTAAATCACATTAATAACGGCAAAATATTTATCTTATACCAGTGGTTCTCAACTGGGAGGCAAACCTGGACAACACTTATATATACCACATTGCAAAACATTTTATTGAGGAAGAAGTAATATAATATAATAATAAGTAATATAATAGAGTACATAATAATAGTAATAATGATAAAAAATAATATAAATTAAAGCCGCAAGCGGCGATGAAAGGCCTCGCCCCTCTTGCGACCGCCTACTGGGCGCCAGTCCCACAAGCGTCACGCAGACGAATTGGCAGCCCGATCTGACCAGGATTACGTATATAAAAGCTCATTTATATGATAAAGTGCGTCCCTAGTGGTCACCTCCGGGACATGCACCCTCTACGTAGAGTAGTATTTTGCTCGTACAGATGTAAAGATTTGATTTTGCAACTTTGGTGAAGATCGGAAAAGTTTAGGTCAGAAGCCTTACATAGGTGGCGCTGTAGAGTCATATTAGGTGTGTGTTTTCACACCATTACTCTCAGGCCATTACCAACTGTTAGCAATGTGAGTTTCAGCTCTGTAGGTCTGAGCCTGTGGTCAGGAGAGCATCAAACATGGAGAAATTCCCCGCTACCTCGCATGAAAATGATAACAAAATTCTTTATGCGATGATTGCATAACTTCAATCCGTCCAGATGGATAAATGACATGGTAGAATTCTGTGCGATGAAAATCCAGGGACTAGTACGAAGCCAAAAATGCAACACCTTGAACTGCCTGTAGGTGGCGCTGTTGCACTCACAGTTGTGTGTTGCATATCGTTGTGTTCAGGGTCATACACTTTTTTTTTTTTTTCATTTTCAACCCCTTTATTAGTCCATTTCTGGGTCGGGGGGTGGCAATGAGAGCTGCCACCCAACGCTCATAGCACCAGTCCCTCGCTGATCTTCTGCAGGGCGTGAGTCCACAGGAAGATGGCTGCTCCATCAGTTGAGAAACTGCCTTGATCTTTCAGCGGGGGCTTCAGGCAACGTGGGGTTAAGTGTCTTGCCCAAGGACACAACGACAGCAGTCATCAGTGGGAGCAGTTGGAGTAGGTCCCATGGTGGGAATCGAACTCACGACCTCCAGGCCCAAAGGCCAATGCTCTACCAACTGAGCTACTGTCGCGCCGGGGGGGTCATACACTGTATTTCTGAATTCATTTTTAGCCTCATCGGACAAACATTTTGCCCCAAAAAGCTCATTCATTCACTTTCCGGCACCCCCAGTGGTCAGGTGTGGGACGTACAACTTTTGCGTAATGTAATGTTTTGCTCGTCTCGGTCCAGAGAATACACTCAGCGATTTTCGGGCCGATCCGAGCACTAGTGCCCTATTACTTTCCGACAGGTGGCGCTAAAGAGCTCAAATTGGGCGAATGATTTTAGTGTCATTGCGTTCAGGCCATAACCTAATATTACTGATGTGAGTCTCAGCTCTGTAGGTCTGAGCCTGTGGCCCTCAGGGCTCAGCGAAAATGGCCAAAACGAAGGCCTTATTTGCCATGGCGAGGGACGAAAACGGTGAAGATTTTCTAACTTTTTTTTGATGATTATATAACTTCAATCCGTCCAGATTAGGAAATGACGTGGTAGAACTCTGTGTGATGAAAAACCAGGGACTAGTTCAAATTTCTAAATGAAAAGTCAAATTAGTGGCGAAACTTTGGCCCATCATGGCCGACTTCCTGTTGGTCCCAGACATGTGCTTAGACCGGCTTTTATGCTCGTCTCATAGAGATCTATCACTCATCCGAATTTTGTGTACCTACTCCAAAATATGCAATCCTGCCTCCAATAGAAATGGAAAAATTTGAATTTTCAAGGGGGCGCTATTGATTCGCCTTTTGTCGGACAATCTGGAAACGTCCGTTTTATCAAATTTTTCGCCGGACCGGTCGTTTTAGACCCCCCATGTGCAGACTTTCGTGCATGTCTTCAGGGTCAAAAATCGAATTGAAGATGCGGAAAAAAAATAATAATATGAAACCGGTGAATAACAATAGGCCTCCCCAATACTTCGTATTGGCTCGGCCTAATAAATCTATTGGTATTATAATTATTAATATCATTATTTTTGAACTATTTAAATCAATAAAAACAATCTTAATCTACTGAAGTCTGACAAATAAAATGTACAATGTTCTTAAAACTGGTCTTAACTCCAAGACAAACATTTACACTTCACATTTGTTTTATATATTTCTTTCATTAAGTCTATTGGAGTTTTTTTTGGGACAAATACTAGAAAAAAATGAAAAGCAACAATACAGCAACATGAAGTGTGGGAGTGTTTGTAAAAGCACTGACCTGAGGATGACTTGCTCCAGCAGTTTGGTCTTCACTTCGTCCTCCTGCAGACGTCTCTTGGTCTCGTCCTCTTCAGGCGCTCCATCTAACAACCAGCGCTCCCTCAGGGCTTTGGACTAGGACACAAAACACATACATTCTTTCATAATACAATCAATCAAGGACAAGGGAGGCTCGGATAAGGAAAAACCTGAAAAAAAGACTACAATTTAAGAGTGGTGAGGAGGAGTGCAAACATTATGTCAAAACAGTGAAAAGAGAGCATATGTTTTAAAGCGGGAGGGTGGGATGGAATGTAAGCATCAGTATTTAACTCTGTCAGTGTTTTATTTTACATGAACTCCCAAGTGATGCTGGCTTTCAATCAAACAGGCCTGATCTTATACACATGGCAATAGAGTGCTTTTCCATTTTTTCCATTTTTGAGATTTAATTTAATTTTAATTTAATTGAAAAAAATATGTCACTCATTATAATGTGTGTTTTAACAAATGCATCTATGTGAGGTCATTTTGATGCATTCTGGGGAGGCAATATCCATGATGATACGCAGATGACCATAAAACATTTAAAGCTACAGAAAAGACCCGGTCAAACTGTGAGGTTTGAGCATTCGCCGGCACGAGCCCCATTCATTTGAACGAGAGACTTCAAAAATTCACAGCGAGTAAACTAGACTGGTCCAAAAAAATGCACCCCCCTCAGCATTGACACACATGTGGAACGGAGCTTTGGGCCAAGAGCCAACTTTTGGACCATCCTGTAAAGGTGTTTTCGAGAGGTCAGCTAATGCTATATGTTAGCATTGGCTAATTCTTCTTCTGGGTCCACCCCAATCGGCCCGGGGTGGTATTGCTAGCATGTCAGCGCACGTCATTTTGGCCACTTTTGAACTGGGACTCGCCCCCACTGGGTTCAAGCCATATGCGGCCCAATTAAAAAAAAAAAATCGGCCCCCAGGACTCTTCCCATGACAAGTTATTAAAAACATGAACCTGTAAATCAGTCTATATCAATCAATCAATCAACTTGTATTTGTAGAGCGCCTTTCCTACACAAGGCAACACATTAGGTCAAGTAATACGCTCCAACAATGTATCCTACCACAATTACGCTGATGACACTCAAATTTATGTCTCACTTACTGCAGGAGAACATGGACCAGTGGAATCACTCCTTCACTGTACTCAACAGATTAGTGATTGGATGCAAAATAACTTCCTTCAGCTAAACCCAGACAAAACAGAATTGATTGTCTTTGGTCCCCAGAAACAAATAGAGAGCGTTATTCGTCACCTCCAGTCTCTCTCCCTGGAACCTGTAGGCAAGGTCAGAAACCTAGGAGTTATAATGGACTCAGACTTAAATTTTAACAGTCATATCAAATCAGTAACATCAGCAGCATTTTACCATCTGAAAAACATTGCCAAAATTAGAAACATAGTGTCTAAAGCAGATCTGGAGATTCTCATCCATGCATTTGTCTCCAGTAGGTTAGACTACTGCAATGGCCTGCTCACAGGTCTCTCCAAACAGGCTCTAAAACAACTGCAGTATGTCCAAAATGCAGCAGCTCGAGTCCTGACCAGGACCAGGAAATATGACCATATTAGTCCAGTTCTCAGGTCTCTGCACTGGCTTCCTGTGGCTCAGAGAATAGACTTCAAAGCAGCACTGCTTGTGTACAAGTCTCTCCATGGCCTCGCACCAAAGTACTTAAAGACCTTATGACGGGTTTTTAAAAAAAAAAATAGTGGATATCAAAATTTCATGCCAATGTCAATTTGAAAGAGATTCCGGCAAAAAAAATCCTATATTTTATAAAAAGAACGTGTTTTTCATGAATTTAAGTTGTCTATGCTCTAACCTGTGTGTGACGTCATAGCGGGTTACGCCCATGCATTGAAAACCATGGATCTATGCCACAGGACTGCCTTTTCTCTCTTCTCTCCACTGATGCCCAACACAATACTGCCCTCTACAGGTGACAATTGCTCACTACACATAAATTGCCGTTTTGAGTGTGAAAAAGTCATCTTGAATATCCGCGAAAAAAGAACGAATACCAAATTGTAAACAACTTACAGCGTTGAAACGTACCCACTCTGACGTCACCAAGGGCTGTGAAGTTTTTTCGTTTCTAAGGGCGTTGCTATGGGGTTATTTCGATTTGGGTGGATCAGGCAAAAAAAACAACAACTGATTTTGAAACCTTTAGTAGTTCTCTTCTAATATAAAATGGTATTAAAACTGTATTTCTAAATAAATCAAACCCGTCATAAGGTCTTTAAGCGACTTGTTAGTGCCATATGAACCGGCCCGGACTCTGAGGAGCACAGGAGGTAGCCTCTTACTGGTTCCAAGAGTCAGAACTAAACATGGGGAGGCAGCGTTTGAGATTTATGCAGCTAAAATCTGGAACAATCTTCCTGAAAATGTGAGGCTAGCACCTACTCTGGCAATTTTCAAATCAGGGTTAAAAACTGTTCTTTTTAGCTGTGCGTACGGCTGAAGGATTTTATTGATACATACTCTTTTTTAATGCATTGTGGTTATTTATTATTTTAATCCCGTGTGTGCTTTTAATGTTTTAAGGTTTGTTCATTACTTGTGATTTTTATTCTGTTTTTAATGTATTTATTGTTTGTATATGTAGTTTTTGATGTTTCTGATTTGTCTGATATTATGTGGGTTGTGAGGCGCTTTGAGTGGCCTTATGTTGGAAAGGCGCCATACAAATAAAGTTGATTGATTGATTGATTGAAAGCACTTCACAACCCATAACACATCAGGCATAAATCATATAGACATTAAAATCTACATAAACATTAGAAATACAATTAAAATCCCGGAGGGCATTAAAACACACACAGTGAGATCACAAGAACATTTAAAAACATAAAAATAAAATCACACAAGTAATTAAAAACGTTGAAACATTAAAATCACATAAATAGCCAAAGTGCACCTAAAAAAAAAAATAGTTAAGTTGTATCACCTTTGGTCCAGTTTTGGTTCAGTACAAGCAGAGTTATAAAAGAATATAGACACCCATTATCAGTGAAATAATAATTTGTTCAAAATACCTTCATAATGTTGAAACAAAACAATGAAATTGCTAAAAATAAGCTGTAAAAAAACATTTCACAAACACCAAGAAAACGTAGGATATTTTGGCACCATGCTTCCTGTCTCCTTGTCTTTAAATATATTTGTTAATACTTATAGTGCTCTTAAAAGTTTATGAAGTAGCTTTCACAGAACATAGAATATATATATATATATATATATATATATATATATATATGTTTTTTTTTACTTTGCCAAATTTAATTAAACGATAACCATGTGAAATCGGGTCCGGGGCACCACAATATGACCACATCCAAAGATGCCCCTCCCCCCTGCAGAAAATAACTGCCCACTCCTACCATAGACCACTTTATTGAAAAAGAGTAAACCTTTCACTTTTAAATAGACTGACAATATGCATTTGGTCAAATCTCGAGCACTGGATTTAGAACAAAAAAACCAAGATCACAGTAATGAAATATTTTTAATAATAAAGGCCAATAAAAACATACAAATACTACTGTAACTACACCATCGAGAGGGAGTTTTGATTGATTTGAGTCTCTGTTCTAATTTCCCTTTCCAGGCTTTCACTATTAGCTTTGCGTAGGTGTAGTTTTTTAATTACATTTCTTTCATTAAGAGAAGATGATTCATTTCTCCCTGCAGCCTTTGCGCAAGTCCTCAGTGTGTCAACCAGTCTGATTACTTCTACCGAAAGAGTTTGATCACTTCATTAGTCTAATTTAAGCCAGAATGAGTTTAACAGATCTCTGTCACACCTCAGCAGCGCCCACAGTGTTTGCCAAGAGCACAGTGGACCAACGCCAGGTCATTGAGCTCTCAGCTTTAACACTCCATTTGACCAAATATATTAAATTAGCCTCTGGATTAAGTCATGTTTTCAAGGCTGTAATACTCCCAAAAGGCCGTAGTATCAGTAGCAGCATTCACAGTATTCAAGACAAGGACAAAAGCAGTAATAGTAGTCTCTATGTTGCACTCTCGCATCTCAGCAAGAAGGTCCTGGGTTCAAATCCCGGTTGGAACAGGGTCTTTCTGAGTGGAGTTTGCATGTTCTCCCCGTGTGTGCATAGGTTTCCTCCGGGTGCTCCGGTTTCCCCTACCACTACAAACATGCACAATAGGTCTGGAATGCGCCTCCTGTACTGGCGACCTCACTCCCTCCTCTCTTTGGAGTAAGAGATAAATGCCCACAACAATTGTAAAGCGCTTTGTGACTCTGGTCTGTGAAAGGTGCTAAATAAATAAAGATTACTTACTTACTTGTTGTTTTAGAAGCAGTAGTAACAGTAACAGTAATTTTCTGTTTTTATTGACAATAAAAACAGGTTAATGCAGTGTGTTTGTCCCACCAGAAGGATTCCTTTAAAAGTATGTTGAGAACAAATCTGACAACAACTTTCAACAAATTAGAAAAACTCATATATTTTTGCATACAGTACTTGTAAGAGCCCTGTGAGTCACTATTTGGTGCTTTGGGCTGAGAGCTGATTGGCTGAGCGAGGCTGGTCCTCTCTTTTTTCCCTTTTTTGTCTCAAAGCCATTCTAAACATGTAACAAAGGCAAAAAAATACATGCAGATGAAAACTAGTGATAGAAACTGTTTTGAGATTGAGGAACGAGCTCGATGGACTTTATGACATAATTCAATTTTTGTTGGTGGTTTTAAAGTTAGATCCCCTGGCTTTAATGCTGACAAAGACACACACTCACATGCTGAGGTTTCACTGCAGATGGAAGCTTTATCATACTACAGCCCCCTCCCCTGTCCTCCTCCTCCTCAGCTCTTGTTCTGATTAGAATATCAAAGTACATAGTTGGCGTGCTTCGGAGGTAAATATAACAGTGTGTGGACTCGCAGCTGTTAGACCACGCAGCAACACAGCTCCGACCGGCCGAACGAATCCACGCCGTCTGTTTTCAACATCGAAAGAGACATTTTGAGTAGAAAGTAGAGAATTCCACACCAGTGACGCAACACCGGCTCGATCATTACTCCCGTAGCTCCGCCCATTCCTGC